AAGGATGATAAATTTGGTATTAAAACCTCTTTTTAGTGTAAAATGATGGCAAAACCATCAAGTAACTCAAGAGAAAGGTTTGCCTCAGACACATAATTTATAACTATTTTCCTTAAAGGAGACAACTAAAGCTGTATGTGGCAGGAGGTGAGGGAGAGGCAAAGAGTGAAGGGCCAAATGCAGACACTTTGATGCCACATTTCGGAAAAGAAAATAAACCATTGGAAAAAAAACCAAAGTATAGCATATACAATTATATATAGTGTGCAGTACTTGATAATGATAATAAACTACTACATCCCTGGTTTATGTATTTACTATACTATACTTTTTATCATTATTTTATAGTGTAGTCTTCATACTTACCAAAAAAAAAAAAAAAGTTGGCCGTAAAACAGCAAGCCATATTGCACCAGCAGTAGCCTCATACATCTCAAGCTTACCACATCTCTTGGTTGCATCGTCTCTTGTGCTTGATTTAATCTCATGTTGTTTGTATAATAACATGCTGTACAGACAGGCTTGCAGCCTAGGAGTAATGGGCTATATCCCATCTAGCCTAGGTGGATAGTCAGCTATTCCATCTTGGTTTGTTAAGTGCATCCTATGATGTTCACACAATGACAAAATTGCCCAACGATGCATTTCTCAGAATGTATCCCCATCATTAAGCAGCGCATGACTATACACACACTAACATTTTATCACATTGGACTCAAATGTAGTGATACTTGGAGAAAATGATTCACATTCCACTGACTGCTGATACATATTTTTCTTTAAGTATTTTAGATTTTAAAAGGTAAACAGCAGTTTCCTTCACCAATATCAACCAGTGTTTGCAGTCTGTATATCCTGCAAATACGTTTTTGAAAAGAAATATGACGTTAGAATAAAAATTAACAATTCAGAAATCAAATTTGGTTCAAAAACAGACAAACTGCAGTCAACTTAGACTTGGGAGGAAATTATGGCTGTTAATTCAGTCACAATAATTTAATAACTAAAGAGAAAATCAGTTAACAATGCTGTAAAAACAGGGAAATGAGACACTGAACAGAAGACTGATCCAAAGACCTGTATATAGATTTACATATAAAAACCAACAGTTTTAAAAAATATATAAAAATACATTTGTATAGTAGATATGACATTATTTTACCCAGAAAGCTTTCATTAGTTCTGAGTTCTGTGCCCTCCTATGTGTTCTCATAGCACCCTTCATTTTCCTTAATCTAGTACTTATTGTGCTATATCATAAATATTTATTTGCTTATATGTATAAAACTGCTCTAAATTTCTAATTTTAACAAGGGCAGAAATCATCTTTTCCTAATCACCACATCCCTAATGTCTAACACAATGATATACACATAGTAGGCACTCAATAAATATCTGTAAAATTAATTTTTTAAAAAAATCACATGGTAGTTCAAAACAGCCTGTACATTCAGTATACTGCCTGCAATGGACAAAATAAAATTATATGTTTGATCATAACACTTTTATTTCACATTTTAATTACAGTTTAGCATTCTGATTTATAAACCTCAGTTCAAAGGTGGTACATAGTAAGTAGAGATGTGTGTCATATCTGTTTGGTTTATTTAAGGGTTCCTTGCAAAAAAAATTTTTTTAAATCACTGATTTCAGAAGATTAGCAAGATACATAGCAATTAGACTAGATAGGCCAAGTTAAGTCTTTTCGTTAGGAACATCAGTATCCCTATAATGTACTGTTTGAAAACTCAGAAACTACTAAATAACCCAATTACTTGCCAGGAAACTCATTTAACTGGTAATACATCCATTCCTGACAGCAGGTACAAAAGCTATCTTTCTTACGCCATTTGGAGCATTGGATATGATTTTTAATTCAAAAGCTTTCCAAAGGACATGACATAAAGGGAGGAACAAGTCATCCATATATCCCAAAATGATTAGGAAACATACAGTCCAATTCTCTAGTTCTTAATCCTGCTCTAGGGTTAGGTCAAGAAGGAAATCACATGAGGAACCTTCTTCTAAATTTTAACCATGGAGCAGAGAGAATGAATATATACAGTTGTCAGTCATAAGGTGTTTTTGAAAAAACAAGTTTCTGATAAGCAATTTACTTGGGTTTCACTAAAGATGAAAATGAAGCATCCCTGATAGTTAATTTCCACGAGTATCCATTTATGGTAGATTAGGACCAAGGGAAGTTTTCTCCAAAGTAGGAGATAGAGGAAAGTGAGTGACTGCTCTAAGAACTCCCAGTAAGAGATGCTTAAGAAATTGGTATCATTATCATTCTGCTTTTGAGTATGTAACAATTTCAAAAAAGGACCTAGTTTCCATATAACCCAATGATCAAGTTAAGAGTAGCAGTTTCCCATCCAAATGGTGGTAATGGTGATAATAAAATCACTGCTGTATGTAAATATAATAATTTAATATATTGTATGATTTAAATAATACATCAATCCTGGGAAACTATTAGGCCAGTATTTTAACCCTTATTTTATAGATAATTCTCCATTTGCATATGCGATAAAGAGAAAGACTTGTTAAAAATTATAGATGACAGGAAGAAGCACAAATGGAGTTATAAACATGGTCTTTTAACAATACAGTACTATCAGCTATCATGGAAATAGGAACCACTAGATCTAGGGGCATAAAATAAAAGCAAAACTCCTGCCCTGGCCAAGTGGCTCAGTCAGTTGAAATGTCGTCCTGTACACCAAAAGGTCTCCTGTTCGATTCTGGTCAGGGCACATACCCAGGTTGTGGGTTTGATCCCCAAGTGCATACAGTAGGAACTGATCTATGTTTCTCTCTCACATCACTGTTTCTCTCCTTCCCTCCTTCTCATTCTCTCTCTTTTGCCCTTCTTCACTCTCTAAAATCAATAAAAACATAACTCTGGTAAGGAGTAAAAATAAATAAATAAATAAATAAATACCCCCTGTTAAACATATTATATTACTATTATCTGCCAATACAGAAGTACATTAGAAGCAGCAAGAACTTTGCAAGTAGACTTGGATTTGTATTTCAACTCTGGTACTTAGTAGTTTGTGACATTTGAAATTCAGAATAAGGGGCAAAATATCAACCACACAGAGTTTAAAAAGTAAAATGAGGAATATATATAACATGCTCACATGAATTAATGTATAAAGGAGATACTGCCCGGTCAGGAGAGGCTCAGCGGTTGAGCGTCGACCTAGGATCCAGGCGATCAGTTTTCAATTCCCGGTCAGGGCACATGCCCGGGTTGCGGGCTAAATCCCCAGTCAGGGGCGTGCAGGAGGCAGCCGATCAATGACTCTCTCATCATTGTGTTTCTCTCTCTCTCTCTCCCTCTCCTTTCCTCTCTCTGAAATCAATATATATTTTAAAAAAATTTTTTTAAAGGAGATACTAATCCTGGACACTGTTAGATTACTTTCTCTTCCCTTTCAGCTAGCAAAAATTTAGGATTCTAGTATCTAGCATGGCTCTATCAAAAAGGTCTCTGGAGATGGGACCCCCATGGGGTTCTTCTTCAGTAGAGAGTGAGGCTTCTGAGCTAAGCAGATAACTTACTTGCTCAAATTCTATCTGTAATTATGGAAGACAAAAGATTAAATTCCTTCCTCTTCTCCTACCCTCCCTTTTACTTGTGGTAAAAGACACAGCTAAAGCAACCAAAACATAAATATAAATAAATAAATAAATATATATTTAAAGAGGTAAATAAAAATAAGTACATAAGAAAGGGGAAAAGGGTGAATAATTATTTGGGAATCAAGTCTGACTATAGGAAAAGAGTTCAGGGGTATCTAATTAATCTGTTGAATCCTAGACAAAAGGCATACAGAAAGGCTTATCCCATGAAGTCAGGGGATGTTCTTAATAGCAGATTACTGCAGAATCCAGTTAACCCTAAAGTGCTATTAGAAAGGCTTGTTCTAGGAAGGGCAATTAGAAGAATGACTTATTTCCTAGGAAAGAAATGGCTATCATTTCCTTAATTATAAAGAGAAATGATGACCGTTCCCCTCCCCCCGCCATGAATCTTGGACATTCTAAATACAAAAGAGTAATTTCAAAAAGACTGAAATTTAGAAAGTACACAGGAACTTCTCTAAAAGAAAAGAAAAAAATAAATGCTCCATATGGGTTCTTTCTTACAGAGAATAGAATACTATCTTCTTTATTCTCTTATCATTTACCTCAGTACTAGGTAAGAAGCGTCTGAAAACAGTAAAGAAGCTGTTAAGGGGAAGAAGCTAAAGAGAAAAAGGTTCATATGAGTTTTTTAGTCATTTGTGAAGCTAGAAACATAAGCTTCTCCCTTAGGTCATGTCTCCCAATAGCATCTCAAGAATACCAAATGGCATAAAAGAGATATACCTACCAGCTATCAGGGATGTCTCAAATCCATCTTTAATGAAACAGCTGAGACTACTTCTTCATATAACTTTGAACTGCTACAAGTATAAAGGGTACTATTTTTTATACTGAGAGGAAGGGCAGGAAAGAACAATAGGTAAGTTAATGAATTATATATGGTTCTGATTTCAAGTTAGTTATTTGTTTCAAATGAAATGTTCTACTTTAACTGAAGCCATTAGTACCCAATAGCCAAAGAACATGAGTTTTGATTCTCATAATCACAAGTAGGATTCAGTCTCTTTCATATGATAGCCATCTATAAATAACAAAAACATGGTATTTAAACTAACAAATCATGTTCTTCACAAGAAAATATAAAGAGAATTCTAATTCATTAGTATATTATTGTTCTGCCCAACTACAGACAAGTTATCCATAAATGCCTAACGAAGTCAAATAAGACCAAAGCTCCAAAATAGACGTATTATATCTTTTAAAGAAAAAATAGATAACTTTTTCAAATTTCTATTATATATCTTTAATGCCAAACTAAATCTATAATATATTAATATTAAAATAAACATTATCGATGTTAGTAGCAATGGGGAAAGAGGAAAATAAACTATTGGACATACCCTATGTAATATTTCTAAAACCTTTAATGCAGTATGAAGAAAACTGTTGAAAATTCTTCTTTCAGAAGGGGGAATGCCAATCTTGTAGAGTTTCAAAAGATGTACCACAACTTCCTTAAAAAGTTCTACAATCTTGAGGAATAGTGGAGGTTCAAGTACTGACCACCAGTTTTCTGTTATTAAAAGGTGAACACACAAATAAAATAAATTTAAAGAATCACGATTTTCAAAATAATACTGAGTTTTCTTCTAAAGTAATGGCCCTTAACCCTTTGAAAATCCCAGGAAGATACACATGACACAATATTTTGTGTAACATTTCTAGACCTCACCTCACTTTCAAGTTAAAGAATATTGTTCTAAAAGCTCTCAAAAGCAAAAATATATAGATGATGTGTTGTGGAATTATGTACCTAAATCCTGAATAATTTTGTTAACCAGTGTCACCCCAATAAATTCAATAAAAAGAAAAAAGAAAGTAAGAAAGGTGTACTGAACTTATATTTTTGGTTTCCTAAATTATATTTAAAACTCACCATTATACCTAATATTAACACCAGTTATTAAAAAGTGCTTTGGAAATTAGAATTTTAGTTTTTAAACAAAATACTTTAAAACTGTATTGCTTCAATATTTAAAGATCTTCCCAAGCTTTATCTCTCAACACAAAGTTGAAATATTGTGAAGCACCACCTTTAAAATGCAAGGTACTCCAGAAAATCAAATACAGAAGCTGAACGATATAAAGTACATGTCTGTCTTTTCCTACATTCACTATTTGTTGTTATTAACTACAAATACCACAATCCTACGAAGCAGACAGAAAGAAGACAAAAACTTCTGACAACATGGAATAATGTTCTGTGAGTCCCTGCCTCACTCTTCTATTACTAATTCCCCAGGGTTCCCCGATTCTACCCTACTTGTTGCTTCCTCTGCTCATCTTCAGCCTAAAAATTCTTGTACTGATTTTATTACTTCCATATATCTCAGCTTCACATACCTAACAAAAACTATTAGGAAAGAAAGCACTGTGTTCAATGTAGCAAACTATAACAGCCAGGAGACAGAGATGAAATCTTCACAATTAGAAAAACTAGGATAAGAAAAATTTAGGCCAAAACTCTCGAGGAGACAGAGACAGAACTGTAAGATCAGATAAGCAGAATCTCATCTACGTGCAGAGAAATAAATCAAACATCAGGAAACTAGCAAGTGAGGGAAAGAGAAGGCAAAGGGTTAACAGAATTCAGGGAAGATTTAATACCCTTGTTTGTTCAATTTTAATTGTTCCTCCTCCTTTACTTCTTTAATAGCAATATCACTCTAGAGGAGATGGGGGAGGGGAATATGAAATACAATTTTTGTCTTTCCTGATACTGTCTCTGCTACTGTGTTTGATTAAAATTTTAATACTGCATCCAACAACTTCAACAACTAGCATCAGATGACTAGAAAAAAGCAACAAAAGGAAAAACAGGCTTATTTTTCCCTAAGTCAACGTCAAATAAGCAGGGTAGAAAAATTTCAATGAGCAAAAAGGTAAGAACTTCGGAGCATTTTCATTTAGAGAAAAGGTTATAAAAGAAAAAAAATTTAAAAGTCTTACCAAGTACTTTCAATGGTGCCTTTTCTAGGTTCACAAGAGCTGTACCAAAGGGAATTGCTATTGTTGTAAAATTGTTGGAATCACTCATCAGGGGACATTCTGGTAGAGTAAGATAAAACCTCAATGCTTCAACATCAGGTAAGGAGCTAGTCAGTTTAGGAATCAGATTCTTTTCCAAACTAGCTGCCACCTATATTTTGACAAAAAGTAAAACCTACTTCATTTAAAATAAATGTACTTTCCCCCCAAAATTTTAAAAAATAACAACAAAAAGATAATCTTATACTACTACAGCAAACATGAAATGGTGAAAGAAAAAAGTGTCTTGCAATGACTCAGTGAATGTACTTTGGAGCATAATCAAAATTAATGCCTACGCATTGCTAAAAGAATAACTTGTATGCAAGTCACATTTAAACTCTCTCTCTATAGTTGTATAAAAACTTAACCAACATGGTAATATTGAGCAATTAAGGGTCTGTGCCAGACATCTGAAAAAATTTACAAATACTTGACAGCTAAATTACAAATGTTTTAAAATAAAACCTTAATTCTTATACTAATATACAGTGAAACCTCGGTTCTCAAATTTAATTTGTTCCAGAAGGCTGTTTGAGGAGTGATTTGTTTGAAAACCTAATCATTTTTTTCCCCATTAGAAATGACGTAAATTGAATTAATTCATTCCAGACCCCCAAATGATTACCTGTTTTAACCTTTCTTATATAGAGTATGTCTTGTGTACTGATTAATCTATAAACAAACACTTCTTTTCTCAAATTACTGAACCACCCCCTACTAGCCTTAAACAAATCACTTTCAGCACTTGTTCCAGGGTGTTTTTCAGGAAGCCAGCATGCAGCATCTTTGCTTTTTCACATATCACTGCCTGCAAATGCTGTCACTGGCTAACTGCTTTTCATTTATCCAAATCAACAACGATTTTTCTACCTCTTCAATTGTGTGGGATCACTGTTTCTTTCACACCCTTAGCAACATTAGCATTCTTGAACGACGACCTCTTTATGTTTTAAAATTGTGCTAATGGTCCATATCACCAGGGACTAAAGCAAAACAAACAAACAAATTCACAGTACAATTTCCATGCTTTTTGTCATGCTAGTATATCAGCGTGAAAGTGCTGTCAGGTCCAGAACCAAAGTTTTGTTCAACAACCGGGACATTTCTTCAGTGAACGACTTGGTCGAGAAACGAATTGTTTGAGATGGGAGATATTCGAAAACTGAGGTTTGACTGTATTTGAAAAAAACCATACAAAGGGCACCGTGATGAAGAGTATAAAACGCTAAAAAGTTAATTAGGCTATAAACATAAAGTTACATTGAATAAAAACTCAACAGACTACATAATACAAATATGGAGTAATTAAAAAAGCAAACCTGCTGAGCTATCTGAGGAGAATCAGGTTGTATAAGTTTGTGGAATAAAAGCCTAGCAGCATTCATATCAACCCCTGAGAATCTGGTGCCTGTTCTATAGTGATCATCATTGCTATTAAAAAAAGAGAGAGAGAGAAAAAATAATAAAATAAAACTTTAAAATTATTTCACTTATTTAATATAAAATTTTTAAATTCAGTATATCAAAAAATTGCCACTTACCTAACAGCTAAAAAACTTCCATTTAAACAACCAGAAGAAGAAAATGTCCCATCTATTTCACTAAAAAGGAATTTAAAAATCCCCAAATCACAAAATGAGAAATCTGTTTGCCTTCTTTTTAAAAAAAAATTAAAATAAATGTTTAATCTATTTAATTCTACAAGCATTCTTCTACTCAACACTTAATTAGAATAAATCAGGATTTTATAAATTACTAAAGATTGATTAAATAATACTTGATAAAGGTATTACTATTACACTTTTGAGTTTCTCAAATATTACTTTCATCCTCTGATTCACTGAACAAATCTGATGTTCATTAAAAATTTTTTTTTATAAAAACATGCACATTTAATTTTCTTAATTCCACACTCTGGTAAATGTATCTGGGATGTTATTTTTTTGAGGCCTACACTAACACAAACTACAATTAGAAAAACTTCAAGTACTAAACAAGTTTATCTATAAGCAAAATATTCAAGAAAGTAATAGTCAAATCTTCCAAGGAGTATAAAAGTTAAGACAGTGACCACTAGGAAGTTACAAGAAACATATTTCAATCCCAATCCTAAAGTGACTATATTTAATATTTTAAGTCATTTCCTGTATCATTATGTGTATGAAAGAATTCTAACATAAATCTAAGTGAAAGATATCTTAAAATATCCATTACTATAGAAATTCTAGACATTTTAACTTTTATACATAAACCATTCAGAAGGTGACATTTAATAAAATATTCACTTAAATAAAATCTCCTAAGTACAGGTTGCTCTACCACAGAGCTTAGAGGTTGTGCGTGTGTAAGTAAAATGCCTTTCTTACTTGGCTATCTCCACAGGAAACCTTCCAGAGGGGTAGCTCAGCCATTTTTGAATCAGAGCTTCGTTCACAGTCCAGATCTGCTTTGAAGGATCAGGACATCTAAAATCATCTGGTGGCCCACAGTTCTAAATTTTAAAACAAGTAGATTAGTCAGAGAGAGGAGATATTATATATAATCTAAACCCAGATATATAATCAAATATACTATGTATTTAATTTATTTAAAAAGCATGTAAATATCTACTAAACACTTGAAACAAAAACGTCTTAAATGAACCAAAAGTTTTGTAGATTTGAGGAAAAGAATTTAAGGCAATTACTTTATAACATATAATGAACATTTATGGGTTCAAAAATTTCTTCAAAATTATTTGAGCTTAGTAATTATTTATTTATATGACTACTATTACCTGGGGATTAGAGTAATGTGAAAAGCTTTGATCTCCACCTGAGAAAATTCTTTTTACACAGAAATATTCTTCAGAATCTGTGATAAAAATAAAATGTAAACGAATAATAATAAATAAATCAAGATTTATACCACATTTTCAAAACATCAAATATGCTACTGGATTTTCTCTTAATCATCTAACTTAATTAGACCTCCTACTCATGGACTCAATGATATAAAATAAATTGGAATATTCTAATTGCTATGGAAATGAGACTGATCAAGTGACAAAAATTAAATGATCCCACAAGCATAAACAGCATTTGCTAAGTTTACAAGTCTTCCTCTGTCCTGCACAAAAAACGGTGTTTTACAGTCTATATCTTTTTTTTTTGAGAGAGAGTGGGGAAGGAAGGAAGCTAGGGAGAAAGAAACATTGACCAATTGCCGCCCATCTGGGGATCGAATCCACAACATAGGTATGTGCTCTGACAGGAAATCAAACCCACAACCTTTTGGTGTATGAGATGATGCTCCAACCAACTGAACCACACTGGCTCTAGTATGTATCTTTATTATCTTAACAATTTTAAACTGAAGATGATGTACAAATTGAATGTAAGGTGTGGTATAAAAGCTTAGAAGAAAATAAAAATTAAGAATATTCATTTTTAAAAAGAATGACAACAAAGTAAATGTTAAAACTTGAGTAAATACTTCATTATATAAAGTTATTTTCTCCTTGAATATAGCTGTACAAAAGTAAGATAACACACATAGTTCTTTTATGACAACTACTTATCAATAAAATCCAAATCCAATCCAAAGACATAAAAATTAATAAGCAAATTTAGCAGAAGAAGGGACAATAGAGTTCCTTTTAAAAAAGATATGTTAATATAAATACATAATATAAAATAATATTTATCTAACTTAGAACATAATAATAAAAGTTTAAGAGTTCAGAAGATTGCCCAGCCGGGCGTGGCTCAGCAGTTGAGCATCGACCTAAGATCCAGGAGATCAGGGTTCGATTCCCGGTCAGGGCACATGCCTGGGTTGCAGGCTAGGCAGCCGATCAATGACTCTCTCATCATTGATGTTTCTATCTCTCTCTCTCCCCCCCTCCTTTCCTCTCTATGAAATCAATAGAGATACATTTAAAAAAAATAAAAATTAAAAAAAAATTTAAAAAAAGATTTCAGAAGATTAATATGACCCAATTTTCCACAAGTAACAAGAAAGCTCTGAGGCCAAAAACAACTTTTAAGAACAGATTTAAAGGGAAAATCTAAAATATTAAATAAACTGATCATTCAACTTAAAAATCTTTTCTCTACACCATTATCACAATTCTGCATGAAATCGTTCATTTCCTCAAAAAACTTAACAGGATGTTGTTCTTTTACTCCTAAAATGTAATTCTGTCCTCTATAAATAATTATTAAGAAGACAGATGAGCCCTGGCCAGTGTGGCTCAGTGGTTAGAACATAGGCCAGTGCACCAAAGGGTCTCGGGTTCGATACCTGGCCAAGGGCATGTGCCTGGGTTGCAAGTTTGATCCCCAGCCTGGGTAAGGGCGAATGCAGAAGGCAACCAATCGATGTTTCTCTCTCTCTCCTTTCCTCCCTCCCTCCCACTCTCTCTCAAATAAAAAGACAGATGACTAATCTACAGTAAATGAATAGGTTTCTAGGGGCTGTGAGTAGAGCACCAAAAATTATTTTCCTTAATTTCCTTTTAATTACTACTACAAAAAGTTGGTGAAACCTAGTTATTTGTCCTATACAGCTTCCTGCAGACTGTATTTTGCTGACTGTATCCCCAAGTTTTCTCCTAACATTTTTTTAGGGGGTGGGAGTCTTCTGTATTTCCTGTAAATTTACAGTTGGATCTAGAGAGGTTTTAGAGTTTGATTATTTCAACAAAAGTATTACATGATAGTGACAATGGGATTGTTTCCCCACCAGTAAGCAGATAATGTGTGATTAGGTTCCTTTTTATGATGTTAGTAACCACTCATGTGCTATGCTTAGACCATTAATTCATTGCAGGTTTAAAAATGATGATATGGCTCTGGCCGGTGTGGCTCAGTTGGTTAGAGCACCATCCCATGCACCAAAGGGTTGCAGGTTTGATTCCTGGACAGGGCACATACTGGGTTGCAGGTTCGATCCCTGGTCAGGGTGCATATGGGAGGCAACTGATCAATGTTTCTCTCTCTCTGGAATCAATGAAAAACATAGCTGGACCATTAGCTTTCCCCTATCTACTACATAGTTTGTTATCCTACAATAGAAAAGAAAGGATTAATAATTATTTCCATTTATTTACTATCCTTTTGCTTTTTGAATTTGCATTTCTTGACAGTAAAGAGGATAATAAGTTTTGCATGTTTCTTAGTAACATGAATATCCTGCTTTGGAATTTCCATTAATTTACCTATTTGCTGTCTTAACGTTTGTCTTGTTTATTAGGTATCTTCTTCTTTTTCTCACCAATTATCTATGAGCCCTTTAAAAATTCAGGTCATTAACCTTAGACTGTATTTGCTACAAATATTTTCCTAAATAATTATTTAATTTTGACTTGCAGAAGATTTATTTTTCCACTTAATCAAATGTATTTATCTCATTCATTATGAAGACTTTCATTGCCATAATGCTGAATGGGACTCTTCCCATCTTCAAATCACAGAATTATCATCTTAATTTTTTTACATTTAACTTTTTAATCCATCTATAACTTATTCTAGTATATAATGTGAGGTTAGACTCTAAACTGACTTCTGCCGCACCCCCAATTTTCATGTGTTCAGTAATTCTTCTCCCTTCTCCACGTATAAGTGATGTCTAGTTTTAAGTTTATAAAATGACACTAACTTTTCCACCTATAACACAAAACTCTAAACAATTTTGGCACTCTTCTCTATCTCAAGTGTTCTCCAAGTCTTACATCCAAAAGCCATTACCAATCAAATTGAGTTTGAATTTGAAACAAAACCTATAAACAATGCCTATACAGGGATTTTTTTTAACCCTGGACTTTCCATTAAGTTATAATGATCTGAATATCTATGCATATACCAATAATCTGATTTGTTACAGTTTTATAGTATATGTTGTCACATCTAGGAGGTCTAGTTCAGTCTCCTTACTCTTCACTAAATACATTGTCAAGAAAAACTGCGAAGACTTTGAAATAGGCCCCAATGCAAAATAAAACAAAACTAAATCTGGTTAGGACTCCCCTCTTCAGGAGTATCTCCACTTGAGAGGTGTTTTTGAGCTATTTACAATACTGTAAATTGTACAGTTGTCCCTCCATATCTGTGGAGATTGGTTCCAGGATACCCTCCACCCACTTACTGCCAGGATACCAAAATCCACAGATGTTTAAGTCCCGTATATAAAATGGCACAGAACAATGCACACAATTGGCCCTCTGAGTCCGTAGATTCCCAATCATAGACTGAAAGTACTGTTTTCGATCCACAGTTGGTTGGATCCATGCATGCAAAACCTGCAGAAATAGAGGGCCAACTGTACTTCTATTTAGGAGCAATAGTGACAGAGATACAACTATGTGTGTGCTTTTGATTTACAAGGAAAAGGAATAGTTTTTTATGGTCTCTGAACCCCTTTTTATTCTTAGGACTTATTTAGGACCCCAGTACCTCAGAATATGACTGTTTACAAAGTGCCTCCAAAGAAGTGATTAAGGTAAAATGAGGTTGTTAGGGTGGGAAACTATTCCAATATGCTTGGGTTTCTGTTTATGTAGTTTAAAAGCACTCATACTTACTTACTATATTAGAATTGAAAATTAAGAAATTAACAAAATACTGATTTATTTGAAGATGAGCAATAACATGCACTGCATGTTAACATAGATAACATCTCAGTATTAACATGAAAGTAATTTTGCTTGACTGTCCTCAAGCAAGTATCAGTTTGTTCCAGAATTTGAAAGCGTAACTAAAGACAGAACATGGTAAGTGAATTTTTATTGCCTCAGTTTATACTTGACTGTGAAAGAAGGTATGAAATTTGTTATAATCTTAGCAAAGTTCACTCATTTTTGAAGGACGTGCTCCTGTGATTTACTGGTTAATGACTTTACCTATAATATATTATTTTTTGTGGAATCAGATAGCAAAAATTCTGTGTCTTAACAGAATAATTTTCTATGTTTTATGTTGACTTTATTGCCTTTCATTTTTTTGAGGGGAAAAAAGAACAAAGATTCCTCACTCATAAAGGAGCTAAGGTTTTTTTAAATCACATTACTATCTATATTTATTTTGAAATATTTTACCGACTTTTTCTCTTTAATAAAATAAGCAAGCATTACATCTTAATATTCAAATCTTCTCACAACTTTTTGTTTTTCCTCACAACTTTTTTTAATTTTTGCCTTTCTGCTACGAGCTGAACTGTGTCCCCACAAAATTCTTACGTTGAAACCCTATTCCCAGTACCTCTGAATATGACTACATTTGGAGATAGAACCTTTAGAGGAGTGATTAAGGTGAAATTAAGTTGTTAGGTTGGGGCCCTAATCCAATATACCTGGTGCCATTATAAGAAAAGGAAGAAACACCTGCCATGCACACATAGAGAAAAAGTCATCTGTGGACACAGCAAAAAGGCAGTCATCTGCAAACCAAGGAGAGGGGCCTCAGGAGAAACCAAGCCTGCTAAAACCTTGATCTTGGACTTTGAGTCTCCGGAACTGTGAGAAAATAAATTTCTGTTGTTTAATCCACTCAATCTGTAGTATTTTGTTATGGCAGCCCTAGCAAACTAATACATTTCCCCAAATCAGAGTCTAAATAGAATCTGATTTGGGGAAGTGTATTAGTGTTATGTGAAACTATCTTTGAGATTTCCTACAGAGGCGCTGGAGAATCACAAAGATTTCATTCAACATATAAGAAGAGATGTCAATAATAATTATGTCTGTTTGATGTTTTACTATTAATAAGAGTTACACGGGAAGAACTGTCCATCAGAAAAGATACTGAACCTTCCCCAGGTTAAATAAATATATATGATAAAATACAATTTAATATAATTATTTAAAAAATTGTTTGTTTTATGAGAATCCCTGGAGATTCATCAATATTCTTACTCTCTATGTTTAAATATGAAAGGAAATACTATTCAAAACTCCAACAGTTCTGTCAAATTTTCCTATATTTATTAAAATTCAGTCCTAATTTCAGTTATTTAACTTATTTTATTTTAAAATGTTTTTATTGATTTCAGAGAAAGAGTGAGAGGGAGGGAGAGGGAGAGGGAGAGAGAAACATCAATGAGAGAGAACCACCAATCAGCTGCCTTCTGCACTCACTCTACTGGGGCTCGAGTCCACAACCAGGGCATGTGCCCCAACTGGGAATCAAACTGGTGACCTCTCAGTGCATAGGATGACAATCAACTGAGCTACACCAGTCAGGGCATTATTTAACTTATTTTAAATGTTTTCTGTTACTATCTTACTGCTTTAATTCCTACTTAATATCTTCTACAGTAGTTTTCAAATAGAGGTGTATTTCAGGCTTACCAATAGAGTTTTATAAAAATATAGATGTCTAAATTTGATCCCTGACTTACAGAGAATCTCTTTACTTGATATGCATGGTTTTAGTAATGGTACATTAGGTTTCAGGATTACTACAGCAAGAATTTTTCATCTACAGAAAGTTACTCATCCATATTTATAAATCAGATGCCAAAGTCACTGACTTGTTTGAGAATGGGGTTAATCATCCTCCTCAGAAAACACTGTGCTTAAAAAAGTCTTTTGGAATAAATGTTTTTTGTGTGTCACAGAAACATCTTTCCCTGTCAGCCATATTATTCTTATTAAGAACCCTCATCAGATCTTTCCACTTGACAATTATCAGTATTAAATTAGCCAAAGTCATTTCAAGCTTCTGTCACCTACTAATTGTTTTACTCTTATGTTTGTGCAAAGGCTCTCCTATAAACTGTAGGCCAGAGTGTGTGTTTTCAAAGAAGGACAATTTCAGAGTCCTGGGAAAAGGACTACAACAGGTATTTGAAACCCACTTATACTTCAAAGAATAGACACTTGGATACAGGCTTCTGAGGAAACATGGCTTAGATAACGTCAAAACACAATGGAATATTATTCAGCCATAAGTAAGAAAATTTTGCCATTTGTGACAACATGGATGAACCCTGGGCATTATACTAAGTGAAGTGACACAGAGAAAAACATATACTGTATGATCTCACTTATATGTGGAATCTTTAAAAACAAAAAACAAAGCTCACAGATACAGAGAACAGATTGGTGGATTGGTGGTTGCCAGAGGCAGGGGCTGGGCAAAATGGGTGAAGGGAGTCAAAAGGTAAAAACTTCCAGTTATAAAATAAACCATGGGGAAATAATGTACAGAATAGTGACTACAGTTAATAGTACTGTATTGCAATTTGAAAGTTGCTAAGAGAGTAAATCATAAAAGTTCTCATTACAAGAAAATAATTATGATGATGGATGTTAACTAGACTTAGTGTGATGATCATTTCACAATATATACAAATACGGAGTCATATGTTGTACACCTGAAAATAAAATGTTATATAACAATTTAAAAAATATATATCTGATCCTTGCTGATCTACAGATCTTAACAAGAATTCAAACTCTTACTAGAACTCTGTTCTTTTAATAGTAATAGTTATTTGCATGAATTCAGTAAGAATCTGTTCGCCTTCTTACTAGTTTGTACCGCTTTCATAACTGATTGACTAAATCAATTATGTAAGCAAGGATTTATCTGCAGTGTCACATTTGAGAATGATGGTTGTTGAATTTGGTACAAGTAATTTTAAGGAATAAAGGTTGGCTGTACTTATGAAGCCAATGCCTGCAATGCCTCCAGTGCAGTAAGGGATTAATGCATCAGATCTGGGACAGTGTCATGTGTTGACTTTGTCTCCCAAAAATTGATATGTTGAAGTCTTAATCCCAAGTACCTCAGAACATAACCTTATTCAGAAATAGGGTCTTTGGAGATGTAACTGGTTGAGCTGAGGTCAAAGTGGAGCAGGGTAGACCCTAATACAAGATTTCCTCTTATGAAAGAGGAAAATTGGGACACAAATATGCACAAAGAAAGAATGCCATGTGAAGATGAAGGCAGAGATCTACTAGCCAAGGAATGTCAAAGGTTGCCAGCAAACCACCAGAAACTAGAAGAGAAACATGGAACAGATTTTCCTTTATAGCCCTCGGAAGCAGCTCTGTCAATCCCTTGATCTTGGATTTCTAGCCTCCAGAACCATGAGTCAATAAATTCTGTGTTGTTCAAGCCACTCAGTTTAGATTTTGTTATAGCAGCCCTAGCACACTAATACAGCAACCCAAACTTTATGCCTTCTAAAGAAAGATTTGCCCTTTGCCCAGCTCCAAGGAAATAACCTGGAAGTCTTTGGAACAGCCTCTTAAAAAGTGTTGCTTACCTGTGTATTAAGGCCACACAAGATTAAGTTTATGCTAACAATGTGATTTATGGTGAGGGCCATGGGCTTCGTCTCTAGAGGGGTTGACTAAATTAAATTCACATTTAACTACTGTTTATGCCACACATCTTTAGTATAGTGCAAATTATCAACCATTATACAGGGGGGGTCAAAAGTAAGATTACAGCTGTCTGTATGGGAAATAATACAATAATTAATAAATAATAATACAAGAATAAACTGTTCTGCATACTCACAATTGTAAACCTACTTTTGCCCCACCCTGTATATATGCCATATATATAGTGTGGTAAAAGATACGTAACAAAGTTTATAATTTTAACTATTTTAAAATGTACAACTCAGCGGCATTAAGCACATATACAACGTTGTGCAACTATCATCATGAGATTCATCTCCAGAACATTTTTATCATATCAGGCATTCTGTACCCATAACAGCATCTCTTCGTTCACCTCCTCTTCCCCGGTAACCTCTGTTCTACTTTCTGTTTCTGTAAATTTGAACGTTGTAGGTATCTCATAGAAAAGAAATCATATGGTATTTGTTCTTTTGTGTCTGGCTTCCTTCACTTAGCATGTTTTCAATAGTCATCCACCTTGTAGCATAGATCAAAATTTCATTCCTTTTTATGAGGACTACTATTTGATTACAGGTACACACCACATTTTCATCCACTCATCTGTAGATGGACATTTGAGTTGTTTGCACCTTTTGGCTACTGTGAATCAATCATTTTTTGATGAAACTAAATTGTAGCAAAATTACTAATTTTAAAATTCCATCTGCTTTCTCATTTTAATGCAAATAATCTCAATGTATACAATTTCAATGGTGACAACATGCATTCCTAAATGACTATATAAACAGAAATACATGATTCTTCACAATATCCATACTGCTTTAAAATATAAAATCTTTATTAGGTTATTAGTGCTTTTTATGGAAGAAACTGATATGATAAAACACCAACATGCTGCTGAGGACACAAGAAAAAGAAAACTACTACTAAAATAAATACATGTTCCAAACCTAACTAACTGGAAGAAAATGAAGCCATATTCTAAAGACAAAATCAAACAAAAAACAAGAAAAGAGTATCACATCTTGACCTTTGCAAAATAGAAGCATAACTGAGACAGCCTTTTAGTTACCAAAAATAAATAAATAAAAAAGAATCTTCAAGGTTATTCATAATAAACATTTATGGACCTTTTCAAATGTCAATCTTCATAGTATGCTCACCACTGAATAAAGTCTCAACAGGACTCAAGTCCCACAACTCAAGGAAACTCTTAAAGAAAGTCAGACATAGATAAAATTAAACAATTCTGAAGAATAGTTTAGGATGGTAAAGGAAATATATTATCTATATATGTGTAAGCACATTTTGGCTGTAGCATGTCAAAGACATGAATGAGAAAACAGCCCTTGAATATTTCAAAATGTTTACGTAACAAGTTCATAGCAACGAAAAAGTAACCAGATCTATTGAAAGAATAATAGAAAATAAAAATAAATAAGTTACATATTTGGTTAAAGCAGTAGGGGTATAAAAAGCAAATTTTTAAATTTTAGTATTTTAAATAGGCAATAAAATCATATTTCAAAAAAATAGAAAATGTTAACAATTTCAAAGTCCCATAGGTACCCAAAAGAATTGAAAGCAGGGTCTCCAAGAGATATTTGTATACCCATGTTTATGGCAGCATTATTCACAATAGTCAAAAGGTGAAAACAATCCTATTGCCAATCAACAGATAAGTAGATAAACAAAATGTGGTACAGACATATAATAAAACATTATTCAGCCTTAAAAAGGATATTCTGACATATGCTGCAACATGGATGAATCTTAGGGAGATTATGCTCAGTTCATGAAATAAGCCAGTCACAAAAAGATAAATACTGTATGATTCCACTTATCTGAGGTACCTAGATCAAGTCACATTTGTAGAGACAGAACCCTGAATATAGTGGTTGCCAGCCAGTGGGGGAAGTAAATGGAGAGTTGTTTAATAAATGAGTTTTAGTTTTGAAAGATGAAAAGAGTTTTGGAGAACGGCTACATAACAATGTGAATATACTTAACAATACTGAACTATACACTTAAAATGGTTGTTTATAAATTTTATGTTATGTATATCTTACCACAATTAAAAATAAAAAGCAAAAATACTCCTTTCTATTTGTATCTAGCCACCACCAAGTTCCCATATGTCCAAGCCTCTGAAACCACTTTTTATTACTTTCTTTATCCCAAATTCCCTTATGTATATAAGCAAATATAAACAAAGCAACCATTTACACTGTTTTGTGTCTCATTTTCACTAAACAATGTATCCTTAACTCTTTCATTTCAAACAGAAAACTTCATGATTTAAGAGCAACATTTTAACAATAAATTTAATGTGTGTAGCAAAGATTTACTAAAACAGAACTTACCAACATCTGGTGGACACTGCCCATTATAAGGGAACCAATTGCCTTTCACAGTGAAAGGACTTTTCCTGTTGCTTGTTGAACCAGTTCCTAGCTGCCCGTTACCACCAAGTCCAAAGGAATAAATTCGTCCTGATGAAGGAACAAAAGCAGAAGTGTGCTGCCTAGAGTAAAATGACAGAAAACCTCAGACTTAATGTTACCTTCTCAACAATTTACATTTAGAAAACCATACAAATATTAACGATATAAGTTTTGTCTTCAAAAATAAATGAATAAAGCTATTATAGTTCTAAAATATTCTGTACAAAATACTTAATAGCCTTACTCCACACTAATTAATCCTGTACCACACAGGTAGCTGCATAAGCATGGTCCAGAATATTTCCACAAAGGTCCAAATTTAATAATCATCATTCAGAACTACCTGAAATCTAGCTGAAGGGAAGTCCTACAACTAGGAAATTAAAGAAGCAGCACACTGAGACTGGTAGGAAGGGCAGAGACTCGAGGTGGAATCACAGAACTGGCTGGTCCCACACAAGTGCAGCGGCTTAAAATCAGGAGGGATACCTTGGCTGTGGTGGTTTCCCAGAGGAGCGAAGGGTGCCAGCCCCACATCAGGACCCGCAGCCCAGGGTTCCAGTGCAGAAAAAAGAAACCCCCACAACTTCTGGCTGAAAAAACCAGCAGAGATTGTGGCTGAGTAACCCGGTGCTGCTGGAGTCCCAGGCAGATCCCCTTAAATGGCTGGCAGTACAGACTTACTCAGATGCACTCCTTCTGAGCTCAGCGCTGGGACATTCGGGGAGGAACTAACTTGCCTAGAATCAGCTTTCTCCCAGGCAGAAGTGCTGGCAGAGGCTACTGCTCATTTGTTGAGTGCCCCTGCCCCTTGCCCCCCAGAGCCAGCAATCAGACATCATATCTGAATCTCCAGCAACCTGGCTCACATTTTTCACCCTACCCTGGTGATTCTGAGATCCTTCCCTTCCCTACTTGCAGGATCATCCAAGCCATTTCCAGTGGCTTTTCTATGCAACTGGCTTCTCTTGCCTTAGGCTTAAGGCTTTCCTAAAATCTCTCAAACAAGCAGCAGTTAGCTTCAGCAAGCCCTATACCTCTAGATCAGTGGCCCCAGGCCCGCACTAGCCGCAGCCTGCACTGGTTCATAGCTTGGCCTCTCCTGGGCACAACACAAGTAGCAGCCATTTACAGAGTTCTTTTTTTTTTTTTTTTTAAATATATCTTTATTGACTTCAGAGAGAGAGATAGAGATAGAAACAACAATGATGAGAGAGTCGTCATTGATCGGCTGCCTCCTGCAGGTCCGCGACCAGGGATCGAGCCCGCAACCCGGGCATGTGCCCTGACTGGGAATCGAACACTGATTGCCTGGATCCTACGTTGACGCTCAACCGCTGAGCCACGCCCGGCTGGCCATTTACAGATTTCTGTGTAGCTCATGCTGGGTGGCCCTGGGCAAAGCACAGTCAGAGACAGACTTTGCACCTCCTGGGAGGCCCCAGAGATGGTGCACCTGGTGGTGAGCTTCAAACACGCCAGATTACAACCCTACCACATTAACAAGTGACACACTCAAGGGGTGGACTCGGTGAACACCAAAGCCCCACTGAAGTAAATCCTGCTCCATAGGGGTGTCTCCAGCACAACAGCTCTTTGGCTGTAGTTGCAGCTGGTCCTCACAGTCGATTGGCCTGCGGGTCAATTCCTCGCAGTGATGCCAACAGCAACCAAGGCTCAACTACAACAGTATAGTGCACACAGCCCACAGTAGAGAGCACTTAGAGGGCCCAGCTCAGGTGATTGGGGAGGCTGAGCCACTGGACCCTATAGGACACTTACTATACAAAACCACTCTACCAATTCCAGGAAACATAGCAGCTCTACGTAATATATAGAAACAAACACTAGGAAACATCCAAAATGCAGAGGAAAAGAAACATATCACAAAGGAAAGAAAAGAAGAAATCTCCAGAAAAAGAACTAAATGAAATGGAAGCAAGCAAACTACTAGATACAGGAGTAGTTTAATAAGGATACTCAAGGAACGTAATGAGAATTTCAAAGGTCTTACTGAGAATTTTTTTTTTAATGTATCTTTATTGATTTCAGAGAGAGGAAGGAAGAGGGAGGGAGGGAGAGAGAAACATCAATGATGAGAGAGTATTGATCAGCTGCCTCCTGCATGCCCCTGACTAGGGATCAAGCCCACAACCAGGACACGTGCCCCACCGAGAATCAACCGCTATCTCCTGGAACCTAGGTTGATGCCCAACCACTGAGCCATGCCCGGCTGGGCTTAGTGAGAATTTTAAGGAAATTAGTGAGAACATCAACAACGTAAAAAAGAACCAGTCAGAAATGAAGGCTACACTAACTGAAATGAAGAATAATTTACAGCGAATCAACAGCAAAGGATAATGAGAATCAAATCAACGATTTAGAATATGAGAAGGCAAAATCACTCAATAAGAAGAGGAAAAAGAAAAAAAGAATCCAGAAATATGAAGACAGTATAAGGAGTCTCTGGGACAACTTCAAGCATACCAATGTTTGCATTGTGGGGGATCCCAGAAGGAGAAGAGAGGGAGCAATAAATTGAAAACCTATTTGAAAAAATGACAACAGAAGACTTCCCGCACCTGGGGAAAAAAATAGACTTACAAATCCAGGAAGCACAGAGGGTCCCAAACAAGAGGAACCCAAAGAGGCCCACAGCAAGACACATCATAATTAAAATACCAAAGGTTAAAGACAAAGAGAGAATCACAAAAGCAGCAAGAGAAAAGCAATTAGCTACCTACACAGGAGCAGCCATAAGACTGTCAGCTGATTTCTCTAAAGAAACTTTGAAGGCCACAAGGGAGTGGCAAAAAATATTCAAAGTGATGAAAAGCAAGGACCTACAACCAAGATTACTCTACCCAGGGAAGCTATCATTCAGAATTGAAGGTCAGATAAAGAGGTTCACAGATAAGAAAAAGCTGAAGGAGCTCACCACCACCAAACCAGTATTACATGAAATGTTGAAGAGTCCTCTTTAAGAAGTTAATGAACAAAATAAACTGACAAACAAAATAGACCCAGAGACATTGAAGCATGCAACAGACTGTTGTATTTCAGAGGGAAGGCGGTGGGGAGTGGGAAGAAATTAACCAAAGAACTTATATGCATATATGCATAACCCATGGTCACAGACAATAATGT